AATAAGTAAAATGTGAATGGAAAACTGTCCAATCGCTCCAGAATCCTCTTCGTAGATCATCTGAAGGGTCAGTACCAAGTAGCATTCCACTGGAGCCTCTCTCCCCCCAAGCACCTAGTCACATGTCAGGCTCACAGGTGGAACTGTGCTGTACACACGTCATTATGCATCATCCACGTGAGCTGCCCGTTCATTTATAGAGATGGAACAGCAGTGGTGCATCTGCCAAGCCTTCAGTTTGTAGTATGCAAATTCTACCTGCAGGCTGGCCACTGTAGTCAGTGCATGTGTATGAGGATGCATCAAATGTTTACCCGAGCAAAAACTTCACTTCTGGACACAAGAAGGTCTGTATCAGCTCTCACCAATTTCACTCCTTGCTCCTTTCAATTCCTGCTTTTCTCCCTGACTCTGCAAACCTTCCACTGCTTGAGATGAAGAGAATTGAGATGAAATGGAAGCTGCAGAGGCAAATCCACATTTATGATGCTCACGGGATAATTTGGTGTCAATCTCTCCCTCCCTTGCTCTCACACCTAGTGCACCTCACAGGATTTTGGGATAAGGCAAAGGTAGGGTTGGAGCCATGTATACTTCCCTGAGCTCCTTGAAAGAACACTGGAATAAAATGGATTAAATAAAATAAAATAATCTCTTTGTACTATTGCTGGACTAGCTCTCTGGAAATGACCTCAACTTGCACCTGTCCAACCTACAACTTACCCCTTGGCCAGACAAACCCAACTGAGAGCACAGGCCTACTGACTGCATCCTCAGTGCTCAGCATCTTCCCCACAGAGGTTGTTACGATCCGTCAGGCTGAAATTGAAGGGACAGGAGAGGTGGTGGAAGCACTCTTTGCCACCCTGTCTTTTGTTTTTGGTGAGTTTTGCTAGACAAACTGAAAGAAGGTGCTTTGGAAGGGGTGGGAAGGAGGCTGGAAGAGACTGAGTGTATCTCATTTCCTGGTTTTTCTGGTCTCCTCCCCAACCCACAGAATGACCCCTTTCTCCTCCTTTGAGGTAGCTTTTCCAACCTCTGTGGGTCAGGGAAATTTGGTTTGTTAAGCCTAGGGTGGGCATGGATTGCAGAGCGACATGTGCTTTTTATAGAAGCACATTCCACTAAAACAGAACATGAAGCCAGCATCCACTATAATTGAGAGGTCTGCAAGATTACATATTCTTTTGCTCAGTCATAGGAAGGAAAAAGCAAGATCTGAGTTGGTGTCTGTCACCTCTTAAAGCAGCCTTCTCCAACTCAGGGCCATCCAGTTCTATAGCCAATCCTTATGAACCCAATCAGCCTCAGCCACAATAGCCATGCTAGCCAGGAACTATGGAAGTTGTAAACCAACACATCTGAAGAGCAACAGGTTGGGGAAGGCTGCCTGAAAACAAATCAATCCTCTTCAATCAACTGTTATGTAAGGATCCAGTGCCACACTGGATCGGAGCAAAGATCCATCCAGTCCAGTCCAGTATTCTGCTCACATGGTGGCCAACCAGCTAGCCACAAGACACTGCCCTACCAGACTCTCGGTACATTGAGCTTGGTGCTGCCAACGGTGACTGACAATGGTTCTTCAGGGTTTCAGGCACAATTTTTCCTGGCTCCGTCTGCAGACTGGTCCTGGAACTTTCTGCGTGCAAAGCAGGCACTGCACTAGGGCCCCTCCCCTGTGCCTGTGGAAAACCCACAAATTGGGCATGAATCCAGGAGCACCAACCTGGTCATATTCCCCAGCAACTACATCGGGATGCTGCTTAATCCTGAAGGTAGCATTCAGGACTTGTAGTCACTGATAGGCATATGCTCCATGAATTTGTCTAATCTTTTAAAGCCATCCAAATTGGTGGCCATCACTGCATCTTGTGATACCAAATTCCACAGCCTAACTGTGTGCTGAGTGAAGAAGGACTTCCATTTATCTGTCCTGAATCTCCTGCCAATCAGTTTCCTGGGATGACCTTCATGGAAATAACCTCACATCAATGAGTTCATTCTGCTAGATTCTGGAAAAGTGAACATAGCCTCAAGAGAAGGGAGGAGAAAATCCTGCTCAGAAACTTTCAATGCACTTGGCCCATTAATCCCCTATTCTACTGACCTTTGAACGCCTGCAAGATTCTGTTCCTTGGACTTTGTTTTCTGTTGGATTGTTTACTTCTGTTTAGACCTTTCCTTTCTTGTGCTCCTGACCCCCTGTTGTGTAGTGACTTCTACATTGAACTGCTCTCTTTCTGGACATATAAAACCGCTTTGACTTTTACCTGTCTACTGACTAGCTAATAGATTTGTCTCTTAGGTAGACCTAGGCTGTGCTTGATCCACCCTTAGCAGAACAGGCAGATAGGTGGCAGGGAATGTCACCCATATTAGCTGGTGTACTGACATTTTAAAGTGTGAAAAACATAACTTTTGAGCAGTGGAAATGAGCATTATCGGATGTACGGGAACAGCCTTAAGTGGTCATTACAGCATTTGAAGTTGTGTACGTAACTTCATTGGTAAAGCACTGAGCATGCGATTTTGCTGTAGAAATATCAGTGAATATCAAAAGTTAATACACTATAGTGAAGTATAGCTTTTGAGAACAGCAGTTTCTATTTTTAAAACCAAGTTTCTAGCCCTCATGATTGCAGTGGGAACTTCAGAGGCACATAAGCAAAAGTTAATGAAAGTTCTAAAAACAGAAGGAAGCTGGTTTCAGATGCTAGATAAAGAACTGAAAAGGGGGGGGGGGTTGCGCTCCATTATGCTGACAGTTTGACCATGTCATCCAGAATATAATACATCTTGAAAATTTTATTTTGAAACTGTAACATTTTAGTTGTTTTAGTTATTTTTTCTACACCACAGCTTACAATAAACACGTTAAAAGCTAAATAACAATGAATATAACATACAATAAAACAAAACCAGATAGACACATATACAAGGAGGCAGGAAAAAATCAATACAAAGCTCAGCAGAATGTATCAATATATATATTAAGTATTCAGGGTTTGCTTAAAGGCTGCAAGGAAGGAGAAAAACCTGAATTCTCTGGGAAGGGAATTCCACAAGTTTGGACTTACAACAGGTTGCTGGAGCCTAGATTAAACTCCATTTTCAGCAAGAAAACAAAGCCTCTGAGCTTGAACTAGGTTCTGAGGAGATTCATTAGGGTGTAAGTGTTCCTCCAGATAACCTGATTCCAAGCCATTCACAGCTTTGGGTTAAAGGTTTGCACCAGTGCTAGACTTAAGCTTGGAAACAAATGCATAACAAATACAGAATTGGTAGCAAAATGGTAAAACTAACTAGCCTCAACAAGGATTCGAAATTTTGCACCACTTTAAGCTTCAAAGTGTAGTATACACTGGAAGTAACCAGTGCATGCATAATAGTAAACACTCCAGTGTATCGATTCTTCAAGGCTGGCCTTACATCCACAGGGTATATGAAGTCGGCACAGAACGGACATGATGTATTTATAGAAGATCTATACCAGTTCAAGCTCACTGTGCTACAAACAAAAAGACCCTAGAAAGCTAACACAATTAGGGATGTTTGTAATGCAGCACTCAAAACTAACTGTTCCTTCTCACGGTTTGGGAACAGTGTGAGGACAGTCAGCCACAAAGGGTTTGTGTGCAAAGGCAGAAATGTTGTGGCATGCTGATGAGTTCTAAGCACCATGACTGCAAATGAAAGGGGAACCATACCGACGGGAAAACAGCTTTCTGTGTGCACATGTGTTCTACTTTTCAGTTTGCACGGGAGTACTAATTATCCCCACATGGACAGAAAGCCACCCACCCAAGCCATAATATCTTCGTTATTATGAAACCAAACTGGTGAAAGGACACAAGCAACAAATTTCCAAACAGACTTAAGAAGTGACAGAAATTAACTTTTTAAATAAAGCAAAATGGTCTGATCCAAGAGTAATTCCTAGAAAAATGACAAAAGGATGCAAAAATTGAACCAAATAAAATATTGTATTCTATATCTTCCAAGTAAACAAGCTAAACACACACAACACAAAACACTTTAAGGCAAACCTTTAAGACACAAAGGCAGGGTTTTTATCACTCCTGTGCTTTAAAAACATTACTTCTAGTACTATATCATGGGTATTTGCAGATACGGACTCAGACACCTGATGAACTAACCCTAGAAACAGTCATCTGTGTAAAGAGCCTGGGATCATGAGCCTGATTTAAAAGCTAGTCCTAGTCTCGGCAGAAAAGCTCCTTTTCCCAGCATGCCCTTACGGCCTACACACTCACACACCAGGAAGTCCTCTTCTAGCAACCCACAGAGTGCCATCCGCATGTCCTGCCAAGAAGGAGCGCGAGGAAACGCACAGGATGTATGTGCTCCCCTTTGTTGATAGTTTGCACACGATCTACCGGGCGGGCTGCTCAGAGCCCTCTGGCTTGCATTTCGCACGCCAGTACCCGCCCTGTTTCCCTGTGCTCGGGCTGCATGAGCCGCAGCACCCAGAGCCCGAGCTCTTCTCTCCAAGACCGAACACACAATACTAAGGCAGGACGCAGGAGCGCAGCACCCTTCTCGCCAAGGCACAGCGCAGCATGCCAATGCGCCCTCACCTGCTCCTGCACAATAGAGAGCCCTCTCTATGACCAGCAAGCTACCCTTCGCCACTCTGAGGCTCTTTCCTACAAGCGATGCCCTTTCTGCAAGAGTGCCAAACCCCCAAATTCCAGCTCCTTCGGCGGCCACAATCTCTGCCCGGGCCACCCAGTGCTACTAAGTTGTACTGCACGCCCGGTAGGAACCTCCAAAACTGCGCCAACTCCATCACCCAGCAGCGGTGCGCCGGCGGCAGCGGCACGTCTTCCTTCCCACGACCTCCTGCGCTAATCCCCCGACCCGGGTCGCGCGTGCCAGCAGCGGGCCGCAGAAGCACGGCTGCCCCTCTCCTCCCCTGCCCCAGACGACACACCGCCACGCAGCCCCCGCCGCTCAGGTGCCCGCACTGCGCTCACCGACTGCAGGAAGCGCAGAGTGCCCACGTAGTCCCGCTCGGTGCCCAGGATCTCGTTGAGGACGCAGAGACGAAGGCGCAGCTGGCGGTCCGTATCCTTGTGGGGTTCCGCGGGGGTCGCTTCGCTGCTGGGGACCGCCGCCGCCGATGCCGCGGCTGCCGATGAAGCGGGCTGCGTTTCCATGGCTGGGGCTGCCGCTCCTCGCTCCCGATCGCTCGCCGTCCGACCCGGCTGTCCCTCCGCACTGCCCTGCTCCTCTGCTCCTCACTCCGCGCCGGCTCAGGCGCCCTCCATCCCCGAGGGGCACGGGAAAGAAGGGCTTCCCCAGCCCGCCTACGGGCTGCCAGCGCCTGCGGCAGCGCCGCTCAGGGACACACTGGAGACGCAAGCTTGGCGCGAGCGGCACTGAATGGGAGCAGAGCGCGAAGGAGGCGAGCCCCAGCGCCGATCGCAGGGGAGGAGGGAGTGGCCAGGGCCGGCGGCCGCGGCGGGGGGGCGCCCGGGTAGGCGACGCCGGCCCCGAGGCGAGGGCGGCGCTGCGAGGCGGGGGGCGGGGCGCGTGTCTTGGCGGGACAAGCCCAAGTGCAAAACCAGAAGCTCGGGAGCGTGTGCTGGCGCTCCGGCCAAAGGCTTCGCTGGGCACAAAGGTTCCCCGAGAGACCGCGGGGAAAAAGACTGGTGGCCCGAGTGCCTTTTCGCATCCGCATTCGCTCGAGCCGTTTCCCAGGAACTAGCCTGCAGTCCGTGGTTGCGGGTATCGTTTTTGCTCGCTGCGGCCTTTGGCTCTTCTTGCAGTATGAAATATAGACAGAATGCAACCTGTTCTGGGCAGATTGCCCTGCACGGAGAGGAGGACGAGGGCTGCGGTTGTGTCCTGCTTGCTGCCTTTGCTTTGCAGCCCGGGCAGGGGAGAACGCTGCAGCTTCCTCAGCACTGCTGCTCGGTGCGCGAAAGGCTATTGTGTGCCGCAAGATGCACTTTTGCTTCCTTCGCAGCGTCTAGGTATATATGGGGAATCTGGTTGCTAGCAGTGTGTTCGCAAGGGGGTACGCACACGGTGCTATGGCATGTAGGCCTGTTAGCGTGCATGCAATTTGCAACTTGAAAAGCCGTGTTCCTGAAGATTGCTGGTGTAAGCAGCCTTAAAGATGCTGCTGCAGTATTTGTGATTCCGGATGGGGAAGGGCTGGCATTATTTTGCACACCACTTAGAGAGTTTTAGTCTTTCTGTGGTACAGAAATGCAGTAAGCAAGTATGAGAGAAGGGTTCAAATATGTCCCTGTCTAGCACCCCCCCCTAGTTTTGCTTAGTTGGCCATGTCCTATCCTGGCCACCAGTTCCCTGTCTTGCGTGCAGATTTGTCTGCATTCTAAAGTAATGAAATGCCTCTCCAAAGGCTTAGTGTAAGAAGTCACATGCTGGCTTTTTGGCCCAGCCCTTTTGCTCCACCGAAATCCTGGAATGCAGCCCCTCCCCCAGGAACTTCAAAATGGCAGTCCTCTCTTGGGCTGATCTGTTCCTAGACAATAACATAGTAGAGCAGTTTCTGTTATCAGGAAGAGCTGCAACTAGTGTGTAGTGGGCCATCAGCACAGTGCTTCCAGGGGGCCCTGCTGAACCCACTTGGCCCCATGACTGCCAACACTCCTTATCTGCTGCCACCAACCAAGGACACCACCCCAACAAGGAGGAGCAGATCCTCTTCGTCTGTGGTCAGCCAGACCAGCAAGACACCAGGGCATCTGACTGAGCCTGGCACCATTACTTTAAAAGAAAAATCACTGCTGCTACACTCTGAGTGGCAACATCTGAACCAAGGCCATTGTCTTTGGTGGAAAATTAGGCACAGGAGAATGTCGACTGCCTTGATGCCCTCATTGGCCATGTGCCTTGCACAGGTAGACTCTGAGTGGTTCAGACTGCTGTGGCTGAAAATGTAGGCACCCTTTTCCTCTTAAAAATGGAGCCTTGTGGGGTTGGCAGGGTTCCCCAGCTGCCCTAGTACTTTGTCAGCCGAGCTTCCAGTGAGGAGGAGGAGGAGGAGGAGGGGGAGGAAGAGGCTGGTAGCAGCTACAGCTGATTCAGGGGCAGATGGGTTCTTTGTAGCTGCCCAACAGCTCAGCCATGCCAGCCACTGATGCCGGGCCTGCTGCCTGAGGCAAGAATCATCAAGGCAGGGGTGGGCAGAACCAAGTTGGAATCCCTTGATAGGTCTCTCAGTGATCTGAAGAAGGTCAGCAAGGTTTTCCAACTCTCAACCATGAAAGCATCACTACCATCAACTTTGTACTGCGGAAATGAAGGAAGTTGGGGAGAACATGGGATAATAGCAGGAGCTGAGCTTTGTGTGGGGACTGAGAGTTCAGCTCAGTTATGGTATACAAAACAAATTTCTGGGATTGGAATTAATTGATTATGAGTATATAGCTTTTGCAGAAGACTCCAAATAGTGGATTCAGAGTCAAACCCAGAGTCAAGCCAACATTTCTGATACTTGTTCATAGCTGGATTAAGCGGCCTGATAGCTAGGCCTTCTTCATGTAATGAAGGCGCAAATACTGTTATCAAGCTATCCAAGTCCTGGTCTAATGGATAATGGTTGCTTTTAGACCAAGGAGTCCTACTACTAAAATCTAGTAGGCATTGTGCAGCTCTTCCATTTATTTATTTATCATATTTATATACCATTCGATAGCCATTCGATAGTGAAACAGTTGCAGCTTTACAAAACTTTACAAAACACCCATAACTAAAACTTACATACATACCCAAATAAATAACAATAGACCCTGTAGGCCCAACACATAAATCTTGCCTTTATTGAACACACATTGAACACATAATAACCCTACAGGCATCAGAAAACCAGAATAGAAACCATATAAAATACAGCATGCATCTAAAACCTAGTTATTAAAATGTTGGGAAAATAAAAAGGGTTTTGCCTGGCACCAGAAGAACAAAAGAGTCAGTGCCTGGTGCACCTCTGTGAGAAGTTGGTTTCATAAATGGGGTGCCACAGCTGAGAAGGCCCTTCTCCTTGTCACCATCTACTTACATCCTTTAAAGAGGATTTTTGGAGAAGGACCTCCATAGATGGTCTTAGTGCATGGATAGACCTATATGGAAGGAGGCATTCCTTCATATATCCTGGTCCCAAACTGTTTAGGGCTTTACATGTTAATGATAACACCTTGAATCAGGCCTAGACTTATTCTTATTTTTTATTTATTTTTCAATGTATATCTTGCCTTTTTCCTACAAAGGGCTCAAGGCAGCTTACATCATTCTCCTCCTCCATCTTGTCCCCACAACAACAACCCTGTGAGGTAGGTTGGGCTGAGAGTCTGTGACTGGCCCAAAGTCACCCAACTGGCTCCATGGCTGAGCGGGGACTAGAACCCAGGTCGTCTGAGTCCCAGTCCCAGCTCTTAACCACTACACCACACTGGCTTTCCACACCACACTGACTTCAGTTGGTAATCCGTGCAAATGGTTTAGGAGTGGGGCAATGTAGTCTTGCCTCCCAGCCCCTTGAGCAGTTTTGCTGCTCAATTTTGAACTAATTGAAGTCTCCAAACTGTTGTCAAGGGCAGTCCCACATAGAGCTGCTTTTCCTTCCTGAATACTTCTTTTTCTTTTACTTTCCGGGAAGAAAAAGGGATGGAAAAAGAAATGGCAGTGTTTCTAGCAGCAATAAGCCTTAGGTACACTGGATCCAACGTACCTTGCTGCCTTGAGAAACCCCAATATTGGGCCCATTAACTAAGCCAGTGTGGAGTTTGTGCTGAAGCCAGTGGGGGAGGGGGATTAAAGCAAAAATGGTAGAGGATGAAAGCAAAGAAACCCACCATCTTTGGCCTGGCTGGACACACTGGCAAGGCTTTGAAGTAGGCAGATGATCTGCCACTTCATTCCGCCCACATCTACCACTTCTTTGTCCATCTGTATCTGCTGGTGTGAACTCTTGCCTCCTGAAGCAGACAAACTCGCGCTATCCTCCGACCCTGCTGCTGCTAACCTGAGCCCAGAGCACTTCTACACATCAGCAAAGGAAATTTGGTGGGCTGCCCAGGCTGGGGCTGGGAATAGCAAGAAGCAACTCATAGCTACATGGATATAGAATTTGTGTTTTTCTCCAAAGTAAGGAACTAAATATGTCAAGCAACCAATCAGAACTTTATACCTGGACATCACTAGGTAAAGAAATCACATCACCTAACCAATATAGAACTCAAATAGACCAGTGGCTTTCAACCTTTGCACAGCTGGGGACTGACGAAAACCACCCCGGGGACCACTGAGGCAACAACAAAAAGCACCATACACATGATACGGTATTCTGTGTATTAGTTTCCAAGTACAATACCAAAAAAGAAAAGAAAATTCTCCTAAACAACCAGAAACCGAGCAACAAAAAAAGCCAACAAATCAACACAACCCCACCCCAACACAGCAGAAAAAAGCCCACTCTTCAGGGCTCCGCCCAGAGGGTGAACCTGGCACAGCGTAACTCCCAGCCAGCTCTCTCCGAGCTGTCTCTCCCCTCGGCTTCTGCAGTGGCCCCCGCGCACCCCCGCAAACATGATGCCAACTGAGGAAGAGGTGGTGGAGCAAAGCCAGCCCCTGTGCCAGTCCACAGTGAGCAGGATGTGCCCCAGCCCACAGATCAGTAGGAAATTTCTGATGCACTGGCTGTTGAAAAACACTGAAATAGACTATGTAATTGAAGTAGGAGATAGAGGAGCTCCATTCTCATTGCCAGAACAAGACCTGGAGTGGCTTGTTGCCATGACCACGAACTATTAATATAAACAATCAGAATAAAGGTGAAAAAGATTGCTAGTAGAAGCATAGTGCCAAAATCCAAATTAAATAACATTCCTGAGGAATTTAAAGTCCATAAAATGAACAGATTCGATTACTGAACTCAATTGACCATGAGCCAAAAGAACTGCATATTGGAATGAGAAATGATATTAGGGAAAGATGCAAACAGAAAATTCTTGTAGCAAAAAGAAAGAAAAGGCCTGGATTGATAATAAAAGAAAGACTCAAAATTGCTGAGGACCAGCAAGAAGTAAAAGCAAAGGTGACAGAAATAGGGTCAGAATTCTGAATGAAATTGTTCAGCAACTATTGCATACAGACAAAAAGAACAATTACAATGACCAATGCGAAGAAATAGAAGAGATCTTTTTCAGAAGACCCCAATAAATCAAAGGGAAATTCAAACCTTTGGAATGCTGAAAGACAAACAGGGATACACTATCTTACCAGGAGAAAAAAAGAGAAGGTAGAAACAATAGGTCTGCCTTGCTTTACTTTATTTTTTGAAGCAACTTTATTGTTTGGAGGCTGAAGACTTTGAGGTACGTGATTTGTTACATGCATTAGTCAGTTCTGAAGGGCTACACCTCCTC